ATACATTTCTTCACGCTCACAAGCTCTCCACTTTGTTTTACATTCTGCTTCTACATTTTTTTTTTCCTTCTGGAAAACAAAATATGCTGATTACACAGTCTTCCAAAAAAGCATACAGCTGTTGCCAATCACCAAACAAAACAGCCTTTTAAAATTAAAGTCCTGGGTATTTTCCCATGGCAAGTACAAAATAACGAAGGCGAAGAGACGAGAGTTACAGCTTCCTAGTTAAAAAGGCTATTCTTTGGTCTGCAGCTCTGTAAAATCTTAATTGGAATAACAGTTGGTACAAACTTGGTCTCGCAGTATTCTTTTCATGCTGACAGGCTGTTAGCAGCCAGGATATATCCTGCGAGAGTTCAAAGGTGTGGAAAAACAAACAGAGCAGCAATTTTGGAAGATGAAGAGGAGATAAGGATTTGTCGTGGTATTTTTCTGCCATGGAAAACCATCCAGCTTTCTCCACAGTCTGTGCCCACTTACTCCAGTCACTTCTTGCAAGTTACTTCCTTTGGGGGGGAGAAAGAAAAAGCCACTTACTTTAGACAACTGGCTTCTAGTTAACTTGAATATGAAGACTGATAAAGATGCCAATGCCTGACTTCTCTCATTGGTCTCATAACTTGAAAGAAAACGGCAGGATGTGTCCCTCCACAGATTTTAGCTATAAACTCTTCATGTGAACCCAAAAAGTCCCACTTCACATTAAAACAAAAGAGAAAGTTTAGAGGCAAAATAAGCCCAACCCTGCAAGAGCAACTAAAACTCTTAACATTCTGTCTGAAACGGATATTTTTTTAAACTATATGTATCTTAAATGGTGGGGCTTGTGCACAAGGTAAGATCTTGCAGGAAATTTAACAGTATTTTTTCCATATGAGGCAATTAAATTCACTTTCATACTTAAAAGCCATTCGGAGTTTAACCATTTTGTAACCCAGAATCTTCTACGTGGAATCACAGCAGCTTCCACAGACACTTCACCAGAGAGGCAGACCCACAGGTATCAGAAGTCTACCATGGCCCTCATGATCCCTCCTCGTTTCTAACAGACTTTCTACTACTACTGATCCTACCAATCTCCAGCCGCCTTAGGTGCTCCACCAGAAAAGGAGGACAGACCCAGCACCACTTAACTGCAAAAAACCCACAGGCTACCAAGCAATTGAAGATTTCCTGTGTGTCCTCTTGGTGCTCCTACTTCTGTATAATGCTGGAGAGCAGGCTGGTACTTTGGCAGCTTGTCAAAACCAAAGGCTGGATGCCATTACCTCAAGAGTCACTGAGGTTCGGCATGAACAGGGCAAAAAAGTCAACCCTTCTTTGCGTATTTTGGTAGTTCCCGTTCTGCTTCCAGGTCCACCTTCACCTCCAGTACCACCACAAACGGTTATCCTGAACATCAAAATGTCATCAAGATTGTGTCATGTTTGTTTAATGAAGATAAGGACCTCCCCTCAACCACACAGGAGCACTATGTAAGCCATGTTTGCAACTGTACATAGAAAAGCCTATGAAAAATCAAAATTTAAATATCAATGACCCCAAATAAACTAAACCAATTGCGCTTCCTCACTCAGTCTCGGAGGTACATCCATCACTAACAGAGCAGGTCATCTGGATTGTATTTTAATCATGAGAACGACAGGTAAGCAAAATACATGGCTCATGTTTTCCTTTATTTAGGTAGCCACATCTTCCTTTCCATTGGGATGCTCAAATTAAAAGTGCTCATCAGTGCAGTTACGGATGTAGGCAAGCACCCAAGATGACTGTCTATCAGCAGAAGATATCACGTTGCCTCAGTAGGTGTGCATCCTTGGGCATGAGGCTTTGAGGGCTCCTCCTCACCATAATGTGACAGCTCAAACAGAAGAGCAAATGTTTCCTAGAGCAACGTGCACTCCTGAAGCTGTGAGCAAGTATCTTTTACTTCAGATTAAGATCTGAAGCCGCAAGTTGACTTGAATATTGTAAATACTATTAAGAGTATTGACCGTGGAAGGTCAATATGAAATACTCCCTCAGGCAGGTGGCGTGCGTTATGCCCCACATGAGACTACAGCAAGGCATTTACGCAATAAGCCATTAAAATTCAAGCTGGAAAACGTTAATTCAAGGCTTCATCAGGCTTCCTACGTATTTCATGGTGCACAGCAGAGGCTCCAGGCTCGTTCTGCTGAAACCTGAAGTGCTTCCCTGAGATCTGGGGGGGTCGATTCACTCTTCAAGGGCACCAAGGGGTGAACACACACACTCCCCTAACAAAAAAATAAACATTTTCGGATGCGCTGTGTTGTCCTACAGTTTAATTGAGGAAATTAATGCCTCTGGGCCACCTTATCCCACCTTAAACGTTTACCAGACACACCATGGCTTGCATAAACCCACCTGCCTGCCCGCACCTCAGCCCACTGCCTGCTCACGGGGCAGCTGCCCCCCCCCACCTGATGGAGCCCGGTCTCCACTTTTCGGGGTGTTTGGGATTTTTTGGTCCACCACAGCTTCTCCCCGCCGCCCTTTTGAATCCGGAGCCGCGGCCGTTCGCCTTAAAAGGGCAAAATA